TCTTTAGAACTCCAGGAGGAGCCACGCCAAATATATCATATCATTGTTCGAACCAACTCCTTTGTATTCGCTCGATCATTTGACTGAGAGGCGATGCCCGCGTTTCATCGGGCCGTTACGGCTATTTCGCGGCAGGCGGTCTTCAGAGGTGCGCAACGTCAATATGTTGTTGCACGTTCTATCAGTGCCTCAGCATTGAAGTCCGCCATTGCTCATCCCATTACTACTCATGGCCCCCCACCTAAGGCCCCTTCACCTACATCTGCCAACCCAGAGCTACTACAGCAAGATGCGGCTTTGCACCAGAAACCCGAGAAAAGTCCGCTACCAGGAAAACCATCTGTGCTCAAGAAGCGATTCTGGAAGAATGTTGATGTCAAGCAGAAGCCAGGTACGCATTTCTTCTCCTGCGATCAGTCTATAGGGACACTTGCGTTGACATGTTTTGTTCTCAGATGGGGACTATCAGGTCCTGCTAGACACACGCCCTATTCGGACACCTTCCAAAGACGTTTTATCCATACCGTCAACGAAGCCATATCTTGCACATGCGATCGCGCTGGAGTGGGATGTCATGACCACTGCCCAGCAAGCGCTCAAGAACCACCTCATCCCTCTAACTTCTCTGACCGCCCGTGCAGCGGATATTGCCGCAGAAGATGCTCGAGGCGAAACTACCACGAGAGATCAAATATTGAAAACAGCGATGCGGTATTTGGAAACGGACACCCTGTTGTGTTGGGTGCCGGAGCAGAACGCTTACGCTGCTGATGAAGTGGATGCCGATGGGAAGAAACCGGAAAGCCTCCGAGAGGCCCAAATTCGGGTCGCTCAAGATACAATTGCCTTCTTGAGCACCAAAGTATGGCCCGGCGTGGACATCCAGCCTATCCTCGACACCGATAGCATATTACCAGCCTCTCAGCCTCAGGCTACAAAGGACATTATTCTGCAGTGGATTTCTGGTCTGCAGGCCTACGATTTGGCCGGACTGGAGAGAGGAATACTGGCCGCAAAGAGCTTGTTGATTGCAGTCCGTCTGGTCGCTGAATGGAGTGAGACGTTCCGAGAGGTGCAACGACCGGGCCGCGGGAGGTTCGGCATTGAGGAAGCAGCGGAGGCATCCAGCCTAGAAGTCAGGTGGCAGACCGATATGTGGGGAGAGGTTGAGGATACCCATGATGTCGACAAGGAAGATTTGAAGCGCCAGCTTGGCAGCGTCATTGTATTGGTTAGTGGAGAGACGAGGTGACTGTTCTAATGCATTTCATTGGAACCAAGCCATCGGGACCACACCTTCTGTACAATATATGTCAACAGAGATTTCTGTCTCTGTTTTATTAGAGAACAGTGTAACTATAGAGAGAGCCCCTTTTCACCTGCTGAGACCATCGCGCGTAGTTACTCCGGAGGTAGTGAAACCCATCCGTCTTGGCCCACGCGCGGGAAGAACATCGTCATCACCATCTCCGTCATTTCTTGCGACTAGTCACGAAAATTGTACGCCAACCAGTCCAGAAGCCTTCACTTACTTCTATTTTAGCTTGCCTGGTATCCTGCAGATAATCATCCGGTCTACCTCTGCTAGTTCCGGATTTAGATAAGTGTTGGAGGCCAGCAAGAGATGACGGAAAGGGGCGAAGGGTGAGTAAACTCTCTCTGCCGCTTCGGTTCCCCGGGACCTCGTGGTTGAATCACCGCAAGCCATACCCATCTTCCTTTCAGCTACCTCACTTGTGCGTGGGTCCTGGGATGAACCATAAGCAATCGCTAGGTTGTTCTTGAATTCAACCTCCGACCAGAACATAAGGAGCTCTCTTGCCCAACCTGAAACCTGGGGTTGCCCCGCGATTTGGGCGCTTCGCTCGCTAACATAACATACTGTTTCGCAGACACAAACGGTCTCGAAGTTCCCTGGCGCTGGCGCTTTTACACCGCGATAGGTCGAAGGATAACCGTGAAGAGCCGGTCGTTCGCGATAGTGGCTCCTCTGAATCCGCCACGTCTTCCCTTGCCAATAGTACTCCATCCATATCTGGAGTTCCAGCTACCCGAAGCTCCAGCCGCCGAAGTACACGCCCTCAAGAGCCAAACCTACGTCCCATGTCTGCTGAACCGTCACAAGAGCCCGCGGGCCCTCACAGAAGCGGGGATAACATTGAGAAGCTACCCTCCATATCACATGCCGAGACCGGTAGCATGTCTTTAGATCAGTCAGTCCGGACTTTTCGTCTGTTCGAGATCTTACGGAGCGGCGACACGAATGCGATTTCGAAAGCCATCAGAGAGACCAAGGAGCCGCAGGGAGCAAATGCCCTTTCTGGGACAACTATTCTCCACCTTGCGATTCAATGCGCTGAGCCGCAAGTTGTCGAATTCGTGCTGTCCTCCAGCCAGGACCTTGACATAAACGCGCGTGATCGGGAGGGCAATACACCTCTTCATTTGGCCGCTCAGCTTGGGCGAGGTCCAGTGATTCGCGAACTGCTCAACCAACCCTCTATTAACGATTCGATCATAAATTACAACGGCCAAACAGCTCTTGATATTGCGCGCACTCCAGAAATCTTCCATCAACTTCAGCTAGCTCGCTCACTGTTCATTGACGTCAAGACCCAAGAGATCCAAGCGCTCGTTTCTCAAGGAGAATACGAAAAACTGGAGAAGGCGCTCGAAGAGCCCCGTGTAGAGGGCAGCATCGATGTCAACAGTTTAGATATGGTAACGGATCCTGCCACTGCCCAGTCTGGGGGCACATTGTTGCATGAGGGTGCCAGGAAAAAGGACACACAACTGATTCAGATCCTATTGATGCATGGAGCGGATCCCTTCCGTCGTGACAAGAAAGGGAAATTGCCTCAGGATGTTACTAAAGATGACAAGACCCGCGCGATCGTCAAGAAATCTCCAGCAGCAGTCATCGCACAACGTGGCATACAGGAAAAAGCGATTCTCGGCACCAGCGCAGCTCAAGGTGTGCCTGGCCGCTCAGGCGGTAGCGAGGCGCCTTTTGCTGGCAAGGAAGCCCGTGAAATGAGGGGTTACCTAAAGAAATGGACTAATTATACAAGTGGCTATAAATTGCGATGGTTCGTTCTAGAAGATGGTGTGCTGAGCTATTATAAACACCAAGGTATGATGCTTGCCGGTCTGTATAGTTGTTTCATGGCCATAGCTGACTGGTTACTTCTTGCAGATGATGCGGGCTCCGCCTGCCGAGGAGCGATCAATATGAAAATTGCTAGGCTCAATATGGATGCGCAGGACAAGACCCGCTTCGAGATCCATGGAAAGTCATCCGTCAAATATCATCTCAAGGCGAATCACGTTGTCGAGGCAAAGCGTTGGTTCTGGACTCTAAACAATGCCATACAATGGGCCAAGGATGAGGCGAAGGAGGAAGAGAAGCGTCAATCGAAACATGCTGAAGTACTTCGCCAGGCCAAGATTGAGCAAGTGGAAGGCCGATTGTCCGAGACCATATCCGACTCTCCAAGTTCAGCTATTCCAAGATCCAACGTGAAGAGCCTTGCACCCCCTTCTATCAATATACCAAGTAGCAGTGGCACACGGCTCAGCACGTACGCGTCCCACACAACCGCAGGGAGCGCGCCCGAAGACGAAGAAAGCTCCTTGTACGGGTCAATGGAGCACGCCGCTGCACCAAATGAAGTCAATCGGGTGCTGAGCCATGTGACCTCGGCGCCAGATATTGACGGCGATGACGAAGAGGAAGGTGACTATGCGTCCAGTCATGATATGCAGCCCACGGACAAAGATGCTTTGAACATCACTGCCCAGTCAACGAAACTCCAGCTTGACATCCTTGCCAATGTCGCGTCTTCGCTGCAAGCGGAAAAGTCAAAGAATCCTGCCACATTACTCTCCGATCCAGCAGTTGATCAGGCTTTAGTTGCTTATGAAGCAGCTGTGAGTAGTTTACAAGGCTTAGTGCAGAGCCTTTTGAAGATATCCCGGGACCGTGATGCGTATTGGCAGTATCGCTTGAATAGGGAGGCATACTTGCGCAAGATGTGGGAGGAAAGCATGGCAAGGATCGCTCAGGAACATGAGGAGCTCCAGTCACGAATGGGCGAGTCCGAGGAGAAACGTAAGCGTACCAAGCGGGCGTTGAAGGAAGCGTTGGAGTCAACAGGCACGAGCCGTGCAGTCAGTAAAGCTCCGTCGCGCGCGCAGGTTGCCAGTGGAGAAGTTGTCGATGTCGAACACGAGACTCAAGAGCCGGTGCCAGCAGAAGTCTCGCCAGAATTCGAAGATCGAGAACTTAGAGGTACTCTTCGTCGTAGGAAGTCGGCTATGTCCAATATCAGCACTCTCTATGACTCGGAGTCTGAGGATGAAGACGAGTTCTTCGATGCCATTGATTCCGGAGAAATTGAGGTGGAGAAACTTGCTGGCTCGGAGGACGGCGAACAGAAGCCTCTGGAGGAGACCAATGAGCTCCGAACCGCGAAGAGATCTGAAATTGTGCCTTCATTCAAGGGATATGAAGAACCCATCCGGCAGAGACTGAAGATGGATTACGACAATAGACCGAAGATTTCGCTCTGGGTATGTTATCACCCCCCCTGGCCATTGAAATCGTATGTAGCTGCTGACATGTGTTCGCTTCTAGGGGATTTTGAAGTCAATGATTGGGAAGGATATGACGAAGATGACTCTCCCGGTATCCTTCAATGAGCCTACATCCCTGCTTCAACGCGTGGCCGAGGACTTGGAATACGCAGATCTACTTGATGTTGCAGCGGACCGACCCGATTCTATGGAGCGTCTGGTGTATGTCGCTGCATATGCTGCAAGTGAATATGCTTCTACGATTGGCCGTGTTGCTAAACCGTTCAATCCTCTTCTCGGGGAGACATTCGAATATGTCCGGCCGGACAAAGGGTATCGGTTCTTTGTCGAACAAGTCAGCCATCATCCCCCGATTGGTGCTGCTTGGGCCGAGTCGCCAAAGTGGGACTACTATGTAAGTTTTAGATGCGTGCGTCCCTCTGGACATATGAATGACGCTGACATCTTGTCTCATAGGGCGAGTCTGCTCTGAAGTCCAAGTTTTACGGAAAGTCGTTCGACATTAACCTTTTAGGGACATGGTTTTTAAAGCTACGGCCAGCATCTGGAGGAGAGGAGCTGTATACTTGGAAGAAGGTCACATCTTCCGTTATTGGCATCATCACCGGTAGCCCCACAGTGGACAACTATGGCCTGATGGAAATCAAGAATTGGACCACAGGCGAAATTTGCTATTTGGATTTCAAACCAAGGGGCTGGAAGGCTTCATCCGCATATCAGGTGACGGGCAAGGTCGTGGATCGGGATGGGTCGCCCAAGTGGAGTATCGGTGGCCGATGGAACGATAAGATCTACGCGCGCCATACCCCAGGGTTCGAGGCGACAGTTTCCGGCCAGGATCCTGAATCGGCCAAGACGTTCCTGGTCTGGCAAAGCCATGATCGGCCGAGCGGGATTCCATTCAACCTCACACCATTCGTCATCACTCTGAACGCTTTGCCCGAAGGGCTCAAGGAATGTCTCCCACCTACCGACACACGACTTCGACCCGATCAGCGTGCGATGGAGGAGGGTGAGTATGATTTAGCCGCCACGGAGAAACATCGAGTGGAGGAGAAGCAGCGCGCCAAGCGGAGAGAAAGAGAGACGAAAGGCGAGGAGTATAAGCCCAAATGGTTCAGTAGGGCCAAGTGCCCGGTCACTGGTGAAGAGTATTGGGCACACAACGGACAATACTGGACGAGTCGCGAGAGCGGCGACTGGAGCGCCTGCGAGGACATCTTCTAACTTGGTACTGTTTGACTTGGGGTTCGCAAGCGGACTGTCTCTACCTATGTAATTAGAACCCAGTGGATCCGTGCCTTTGCTATTATTCATCTTTTAGTTTTACTCCCTCGTAACTTAAGGTACTAATTCTGGGGACCGGCCGGGTGAAAATCACGTGCACGCGGGCGAAAAGGACCGCCGCCGCGTGGGAGAATCAAGCCACTTTTTACTGCAAGAGTCCTGTTCAAGCGTCGCGTTGCACCCACAATGACCGGCGAATATACTTGTGGGCGCTGTCTGCAGGTGCTCCGGCGAAGGGCTGTTGCCCAGAACTCTGTGGCTCGCTGGCATCAAGTCGCCAGTCCAAGGCGAGGGGGATACGGCTTTCCCGCTTCATGCGTGCGGAGCTTGAGCTCTCGGAGCAGTGCTTCCTTTAAGTCCAGGCCTATACAAGCCCCAGTCCGGCAGAATACTCTATCGTCCAATTTGTCGGCCTCCTCAATTGCATCGCAAAATGTCAAGTCGATTGTGCAGAAGGCCACATCTGCCACATCTGCCGCCTCGCCAGAGGCTCGGGCACTTCTGAAGCCGAACAACCTGTTTCACTCCTTCTCCCAGTCTCCAGCAGCTGCAATCCGACAGCGTGCGGCTTTTATCAAGCAGAACGCCTTCTGCCCCCATCCGAGCCATCAGCAGACTCGTTTGCCCCTGTCCCCCCACGATCCCGAATCGCGCAAGAGCCAGGTGACCTCGGAGAGTCTGCCTCCCGCGCACTCTCATTTCGAATGTCCCGACTGCGGTGTTCCGATTTACTGCTCCGAGGGCCATTGGATGGATGATTTCGAGGCCCATCTGGAGATTTGTGAGACAATTCGACAGATCAATGAAGACGATCATGATCTACACTCCGGACGGTTTTTCCCGGAGTTCTCGTACCCCGGACTGCAGGACGATAACTTCGTCATTAACATGACGAATTGGGACACTTTCCTGTACACACGAGAATTTGAGGCGATCAACGATGATCGGAGCATGCGACAAGTAACGAGAATGCTCACCTACCCTCTCACAATTGGAAGTGTTTTGCATGAGCTGAGCCCTTACAATGTCCGGAAAGATGGCAGGCTTACCGTGGAGGGTCTCAAGAGTGTCAGCGGTAAGTTACAGTCTCTCTCTCTCTCTCTCGTCTTGTAGGTTCGCCAGCTAACCTATTGGCTTTATTCAGCGCTCCGGTACACCCTTCACCCTCCCAAGACCGGCGAGGGCGTCGACATCCAAGGACTACGACTCAAGGCTCCTCCCGTGCGCATATTCATTTTGGGAGCTCGCGCCGAGTCCTCGTTGCCGCGCGAAGTTTGGCTTCAACTTAGCTACATTTTCCCGCGCTCCCTGATCCATTTGATCTTCATCGGACCGGAGAGTATGGCCAACCGGGATGATGAATTCCCACTACCCGAGCGCACCTCCGAGAATCCCTTCGGTGGTATTGTGGAGGACAGACTTGGAGGACAGTTCAAGATTACCACGTACGTTGACTACTTCCACACAATGTACAAAGCGCAGTACTTCCAGCCCTTCGATCCTTATCTGGACTGCTTCATGCTCTTCCACCCGGGTCTGGGACACCCGGCCAGCTCCCACGAATGGGAGGAAACGCTCCCGCAGCTCCTCGAGACCAAGGTCCCCATCATCAGCACGGGCTACACGCAGTGGGATATGGAACGTGACATCAACTGGGTCAACGAGAAGTGTGCCGGTGAATTCGACATTCTGCTCGAACCCGGTGAGAACGTTTTCCGCAGTTTGCGTTGGGATCTCAACGATCTGGATCCCCATGACGTGTCCTGCGGTAACTGGGGTCTTTGGGCTTTCAGAGGAAAGAGGTACGAGGCGACTTTCAAGGATCAATAGTGTTAAAGTCTGGAGAGTTTGCCTGTTCTTGATGTAACGCGATATTTATTACCGTCCCCTCTTTTCCTCTCTGTCTCTGTCCTCTACCCCGCATCTCCCATATTTTCTCACCTGTATATTATCCCAGCTGCATTTCGTGTCTTGTCTTCGTTCATATGAATCAGATATTGGTCGCAATGATGCGATTGTAACCTGTCAGCCTCACTTCCTCTTTATTCCGCTGTATACATTCCTAGCTATTATGTAAAGCATGCTGGCCTTGGTCGAGTCAAAGGAAGGGAGGTCTATGACAGTGCCCAGCAGTGTCTTTCTCTTCAATTTTATTCTTCACGTTTGCTATATGGGCGTTTCTGATCCTTCTTCAGACGTGTAACGGAGCAGCGAGGATAGTACCATAAAAGGTTTTACAGCCTAAGACAGAGCATAGACGAAGTGCAGGGTGGTGCAGTTTGGGAAGAGATCAGATAAACCCAGCCTCAAAGATGGATTAAGCAAACATCGCTGGACTGAGGCAAGACCCAACGTTGCCCACGGATTGTTGAGTTCCTACTTCGCTACGTCATTGCAGATTGAAGCCTCACAGAGAGCGGGAAGAAGCAACATTACCGGGATACTTATGTGCATTCCAGTAAAGGGAAGAAGGAAAAGATAAGAGAGGAGGAAAAAATAGTCAATTATAAGCATTTGCATGAACTTGGAAATAAAGAATGTGCAAGGTACCAATGTCACATATCAGACGGATGAGCAAATGCTGCCGACCCGTCGAATGGACATATGCAAGGCTTGATGGATCAAAAACACGATGAAAGAGAACACACGAGAGGGAACTACTGTCCGAAAGGAGAGCTCAAAATCATAGTTGTCGATAGTACATATATTGGATGCTTCTTCTCAGCGGGTTGTCGTTAAGAGTTCCTTTCTCATTGCCACATCACCCTCCGCTTCTCAAACTTCGTGCAGACAGCTATCCACGCCACTCTGGCATTACCCAGGAGGCATGACCATAAGATAGCAGTCCACTCAGAGTATCTTAGAGCATGATAAATCCTGCAGCAGCGAGGACCCCAGCAGCCATACCTCCAGAAAGCTGGACGACCGGAGCGGCGGCGCCCGAGTGAGTAGCAGATGCTGCAGCCGCAGTAGCGGATTCGGAGTCCGAACCAGAGTTTGACTTCGACTTTGAGTCCGCGTCGGTCGATGTTGTGGTAGTCGGGCGAGCTGTTGCCTTGGTGATGTATGACCTGGTGAAAGAAGCTGAGGAGCTGGCAATGGCGGAGCTAGAAATGGCGGAGCTAGAGACACGACGGCTAGAACTTGCCATATGGCTTGGCGAAGCGGAAGAGCTGGGATGGAATCTGGCGCTGCTACTGCTGCTGGCTGTATGAAGGGGGCTGGACGAGATGGAGGTCGGAGTTGGTGCCAGCGGCGTGGATGCGACATGCGTGCTTGAGACGGGCACAGGTGTTTCTGTAGGTACAGCCTGCACCGCAGCAGAGGCGAACGGGGCGAAGGCCGCACAGGTAACGAGAAGGACCTTGGAGAGATACATCTTATTGGCTGCGTATGTATGGGGTTTGCGAATTAGAACGCTGACTGGGATCGATATGCCACGCGGACGTGTAGTATGCACTTGGAAACCAGGCTGAAGTATTGATGTTGATGTTTATATAGCGTTGGAAAGCACTGGCGCTCTATGGAATCTTGGTAGAGACGACAAATAGTAATTGATGCTTTTGGAAAAGTCTAAAGAGCGAATGGAGCTGGAAAGAGTGGCAGCTCTGGTGATTTGCGTATGTATGAAGAAGGAGCGACAGCGCAGCTGGTGAACCCCAGTTAGAATTGCTCAAGAAGAAGGTGCGAAGAAGAAGAATAGGGGGGAAAGAGAAAGACAGACGGGTTGAATTGAGAGACAATGGAGCTGCCAAGGGGAAGAAAGGAGGAGTCAGATCTGACAGATGTCTGATGGGGCAGCCTGCCGTGCCCACTTTTGCTACGTAATTTGGAGGGAGGGTCATCGCCAGTGGATCCGGTCAGCAGGGAGACACGTCCAGACCATTGGGTGGCGGATGAAACCCGAATGAGGCGTGACAAGATTGCATATCTGTGCCTTAAAGACGAGCTTCTAGACCCTTGTTGCGGGAGGCCCTTGGAACGTGGCCAGCTCAATCAGAATGGCGATGTATATGCATGGCTGAGATGACGATCCCGGTGGGGAGGCTGCAACGGTTCTGCGTAATTAACCTTTAAACTCATCCCTTGACCCGTGGGAAAGGCAAGATCATCAGGTGCTTTCGTGGCAAAAGCTCGAGACTGACATGGATGAAGCTATGATTGGGGATGATGAGTGCAGGATCGAGGGTGGGGGTTCAAGGGACACACAATTTAATTAATCTGTTGCAAGTGGAGTCCGACCTGGGCTCTGCAAAGCCGAACACCAAGAAAATCAAAATGGAATGAGACAAAATGATATTAATAGCCGTTCTTCTAACTTCAACGCCAAGCACGTGGGTATCTTCTGCTGTCGGATCGTCTAAAACTATTATAGTGATGAATAGAGCGCAGTCCAATGAAGGAATAACATAATAAAAGTTAAAATGATGTGGTCGGTTGGGGGCACCTTACTCGTCTCTAGTAAGAGCAGGACCAACTACGTCCATACAATGCCCACCACCACGGCCACCATCATCCAATATCCAGATCCATGGACACCAAAGTGAGTTGCAGCCGAATCGGCGGCAGTCGTCCCGTTGGCCAGGGTGCCGTTGATATAGATTGATTCCGTGCCGTTCACATCAACCACCTTGGCGACGCTCGTACTTTTAGGTTGAGTTCCATTGAATAAGGACTCATAGTAAGTGCTGTTACTATTTTCATCGCATCCACATTCCAGGTACTGTTGGCAAATGCAGTTCACGGGTAATGACTCGTTTTTGTGCGAGGTATCGTTCATATAGTGGTAGTGATAGCTGTAAGGGTAGACGTATGCCCCATATAACCAAAGGCCCGGGAAGTAGAGAGGGACAATGGCCGCTGGCAAGAGAAAAGGCGTCACCCCCAAACGTGATCGTGCCCCTGCTGTATAAGGGGCAGTGGCACCACCAGCGTAGTAGTAGCCACCTCCATACGCCGGACGGGTTCCAGAACCACTGCGGGATGTGCCCCCGACATTGCTTGAAGAGCTGGCGGAGCTTGTTAGCCTCAATGTCTTCTCTTTCCAATCGACTGACGTTTACTCACCTGGTTCTTGCGCTACTTCCACTACTTCCGCTGTTCCCTGTGCGTCCACTGCTGCTGCTGCTGCTACTACTACTACTGCTGCTCCCTCCACTACCACTTCGACCACCACTGCCTCCTCCACTGCGCCCTCCCCCGCCACCGCCCCCACGCCGCTTAACTAGATCCAACAATGATGAAGAATCTGCGGAGAGAGTAGCATCTCGGGCTGCAGGCGGAATGCTGAGTGCGGTGACAAGGGTGATGAGAAAGAGGGCCAGCGCAGTGGCAACTGATATTATCTTCATAACAGATGAAATTGGATAGTGCGGGGGTAAGTGAAGTAAAAAGAATTTTTGTTGCGCACCAACACAACCATGCAAGGTGCTCGTCAAAGTAACACAAGCTGCAAGTCGGTGCACTGCAGAAGATCGATAACCGAGGTCCAGTGACTATCGCAACGTCTGTCTGCTTGGTGCTGCAGAAGGTGAATAAATAATCCAGGCGTCAGAGCAGGACAAAGAGGAAGAGAGAGTATTAATATATGATAAAGAGATTCTTTCTGAGTAAGAGTTTGAGAAGGATAAAGGCGCAGCAGCATTGAGACTGAGAGTTTTTGCTGATGAAAGGAGACTTGCCGAGCACCAACTCCCCACCACAGATTAAGCTTCCGCTATGCATGCAGCCCCGTTGGGTTGATCTCCACAGCACAAGGGTAAGAGTTCGGAATCCTGCTGTATTGAGAATAGAGGGATGGCATCAAATGGACCCTGCATATCTTCAGATGCATGGTAACATGTGGCTGAGTGGAAGGTAATACAAAAGTAAGATCCCTGGGTCCACTATCTTTGCGCCTCAGAGTGGCAATGCTAACCCAAACCCATTCAACAGTCCAATTCATGGACTAATTAGTTACTTGTCTCCTCGGATCCTACGATGGAAAACTAGTTACTTAATAGCCTTCCTTACTCAGCAGTTCTTGCATTTACTTTCCTATCATCTGCCTTCGTAGTACAGCCTTATTGAACACGAGCAGCTTAGTTTCTTGGCCTCGTCCTCGCTGAATTCATTCAATCATCATCTGGAATCTAAGAGGTCATCCTGTGATACTTATGTCTTCCAACAAGATTTGGTATGCATCCACTAATAAGTTATCTGATGACCTCTGACAGAGCCTCATCATCAACTCCGCCTGGTGCCGAACAACCGAGCCTGGCTCGGCTTGGAGTGCACAGCCCCCTTCTGGGAAATTACCTTTCCTCATTGTTGTTGTTGTTGTTGTTGTTGTGGCTTCACAAGGGGCCTGTACACGGGTTCCCACATCTGTGCCCGAATCCACTCTTCTAGTTCATCTTCATTCGCGGGAATTCCCTCCTCTTGAGCATGCCCTTCTTCGACCGCCGTCTTAATAATTGCTTTGGCGATGTCGACGCTAAGCTCGCGTACATCCTTGACGTCAGGTAGAAGTGGTCCGTCCGGATCCTGCAGTGCCGGCGACCGCGCTGCCAATGCCTTGACTGCACCCACAAGCATCTTGTTGGACAACGTTCGTGTTCGCGACAGAACTGCGCCCAATCCGATTCCGGGAAAGCATGTCGAGTTGTTACATTCCGCTGCAAGATCAAGGGAACCAGGCATCAGCTGGGATGATCCTATCTTCGCTACGTAGTGGGAAAAGCACATACCTATCTCATACTTTCCTCCGTTGCGATCGACGGGTGGGAAAGGACTGCCGGTGGCTATCAAAGCTCGGCCATCAGTCCAACGATTGATGTCCTCAGGCTGTGCCTCGTGCAACCGAGTCGGGTTACTGAGGGGGAATATAATTGGCTTTTCGACGTGCTTCGCCATCTCTCGAATCACGTCCTCGGTGAAAGAGTTTGGCTTAGTGGATGTACCAATCAAGGCATGCGGCTTCACCTTCTTCACTACCGAAAGCAGATCGCGCGAATCTGCATCAGGCCACTCTTTGTCGTCTCGCGCAAAGGGTACTTGGGCTGGCGTCAGCTGATCTCCAAGAGATTTGACCAGAAGGCCCGGTTTATCGAGACACCTAGGTTTAGATAATCAGTAAATGTAGGGTGGAAGGAACTCCACAAGCCGATGCATTTCCATACCATATCTGCTTTGAGGCTTCTTCTTTAGATTTGTGTGTTTCAGTCGCGATGGTATCGGCGAGCTGCTCCGCGATGCCAGTGCCCGCTGATCCAGATCCGAAGACGACTACACGAGCATCCTCTAACTTGATACCACCCACGTGGAATCCGGATAACAGGGCAGCCAAAGTGACACACCCAGTTCCCTGAATATCGTCATTGAAGCATGGAATACACGATTTGAATTTATCCAAGATCCTCTTGGCGTTATGAAGGCCAAAGTCCTCGCTAAATGACGTCAGTAAAGCTCAAGATGGATGGCTGCGGGAGTTCCTATGGAACGTTGACTACTCACAAGTGTATATATGCACGGGGGAACCTCTTTCGAGCCGTTTCCACAAACTTTTCCACGAACTGGTCATATTCCTCGCCTCTAACGCGCGACTGTCGCAGGCCCAGGTATAGCTCGTCCTTGAGAAGTGATTCATTCTGTATTCGATGATTAGCACCTGCCTGATTGATACTTGTTGCTGCCATACATCTGTACCACAGTCTAGGACCACCGGCAATTGCCGACTTGGATGTATCCCAGCACACAACGTGGTAAGGGCCAATTTGGCAACAGAGATCAAGATGGCGCCAACGCCTTGGTCACCAATTCCTAAGATCTGTGACTGGTTAGACATGTCGTACATGGAGTGCATGCTGATGTCCAACTTACCTCCTCGCCATCGCTGACGACTATATAGTCGACTTCCTCGCCGCGACTGAAGTTGGAAAGGCATTCGTCAATCCTGTCTTGGTCCCTGATGTTCAGGAAACAGCCCTCTGGCTTCCGGAACAGTCGAGAATAGTTCTGGATTGCATCGCCTTCAGTGGGAGTGTAAATTATGCTAAGCATCTCCTTGAGATGGGTATCAATTAACTTTAATATACGTTAGTTCGCTGGTCGTCTTCGAATTTTCTAAACACACGCGGGAGGTCAATATGTATGTTACCTTGTAATAGAGAACCTCATTCTGAGCCTTCATACTAGCCATGAACGTGTTCTTGGCCAGATCATTATCTCGACTGCTATATTGCTCGTACGCCCGCTGAACCTGCTCCTCGAGGGTCTGGATATTGGGGGGAAGCAGACCATGAAGCTTGAATGTTCTGCGCTCCTCCTCCGTGAACGCCGAGCCTTTATTGAACTGGCATGACTGCAGAGCATCTCTTCCCTACATCTGCGTCAACAATCAAATTACCCATAATTCTCTCAGGAGACCGTACCTCAAACGGGCACACCAAAGGTCCAGACGAGGCCCGAGGAAGATGACTGAACTTGGAAGATTTCGACGATGTAGACATTCTCGCAACCGACGTGAGAGATGTATGGCGCTGCAGCGAAAAAGTGGGAAATGGTGGGTTGGGTTTAAGTCTCAGGAGAAAACGAGCCATTGAATGAGAGAGGGGTCAAGACTAGCTGCGTTTGGCTGTTTCTTAAGGGGACGCCGGGTGATCCCTGGCAATAGAGCGGATTCTTATACCCTGAAAGTCTCCCCAATGTAAGCCTGTTTATCGGATAGCCGGAAAACCGGTAAGCCGAGTGAAGACGCAGCGTAGTCAGGGCCTGAGAGGAAACTCTGGTGGAGCAATTGGATTAAGATGACGCTGATACGGCTATGACGTAGCGGCGATTGCCGTGAGCTGGTGCTGGCAACGTCAAAGGACCCATCTGCCTTATACTCAGGGGCATTGATGCAATATGGGCTCCCAGTAGTTAACCCTCTATCTGTATGCTTACACTCACTCTTCTGAAGTGAAAAGCCAGTTCATTGTCGATGGAAACGAGCGCAATCGATTGTTCCACGGGCATCTCGGACGATGGCACCACCATCCTTGTTCACAAAGCCTTGTCGCATCCACGGTATAATGGTAACTTGCCTTTTCAATATCCAATCAGTGTCCATTTTGGGCAAGCCACATCAGGGGCCCAAGGACAAGCTAAGCCGAGAATTGATGCGAAAGGTGCATATGTTGCGATGCTGTCTGTTAATGGATGGGTTCCTTATCATGCTTATCGGTCATATCAAGTCACATGTCGATAAGAAAAGCAAAGCTACGATGACTCATCTCTAAGTAAGCGAGCCTACAAAAAGCAAGCACGTGCGCGCCGGCTTCTTCTGTTTTTCATCTGCTCAGCCGAATATCGATACACCCACCGTCAGAGCCACAACAACGGCAGCTTGCAGTGCCAAATACGCTGGACAGCAGTAATTGAGACTTATAATGTGCTAGGTCATCTTCTCTGCTTCATTTAATGAAGATCCATCGTGCTGCATGTACGGAATACCGCCAACACACATATCGAAAGAGAATTGGCACCCTATCGCAACTTTGCAATCCAGCTGTCCCAGGTTGTTAGCTCTGTTCACAGCCTTCGGGCTGGACAAACAGAGTGCTTGAGCTTCCGTCAAGGACTCTCCATTTCGGAGAACAGTCATCGCATGTCACGTCTTGTGACTGTGGCCGACTGGAGCTGGATTGTCGGGACCCTTCGGGGTTCCGGTTTTGATTTCTTTTTTCAGGTTGCTAGAGAAATTCCTTAGGGCCTTCATAGTTCATGTTGCTCGCGTTTAAACCTTGCTACGAGAGCATGACTCCTTGCGCACCTACATACTTAGCGTAATAGTATCTTCTGATTTAGATAGATTCGTTCCGCTTGCTATCCTCAATGCGAATTGATTACTGCTGGATGAGATGCACTTCCAATCCCTCATGTAATCCGTATTGCCTAGTGCCTAGTCCAGAGGCTTCAGTATCTACTCTATAGTTTACTCTTTCCAGCAATAGCATCATCGTCGATGATCTTCACCACCACCTTCCCCCATGTCTCCCGGCCACCTAGCGCCTGCAGCGCGCGAGGCACGCTCTCCAATCCTACAAAGCTCTCGTCCTTAAAGGCCGTACCCTTGAACTTGCCCTGCGCCACAAGATCGAAGATCCCCTTCCAAACCGTCTGTACCGTCTCCTTCTCAAACCGTGCATACTGGCCCCAATGCAATCCAACCAAACTGACATTTTTCAGAAGCACACGATTCAGCGCGACCTTCTCGATCTTTCCCGCTGCAAAGCCAATAACCAAAAGGCGTGCATTCCACGCCACACACTTCAGGCTCGCCTCGATCATCCCGACCGGATCATATACGATGTCCACCCCGGCTTTCCTATTCCCCGAGCGATGTTGCGCACACAACCGCTTCACCTCCTCCGGCCAGCTCTTCTCCCGATAATCAATGACATGATCCGCCCCGAATTGGCGCGCAATCTGTCGCTTCCGCTCCGTCCCGGCCGTTGCAATCACCGTCGCCCCCTTAGCTTTGGCAATCTGCACCGCGGCTAACCCGACGCCACCGGCCGCCGCATGCACGAGGACCCAGTCGCCCGGCTGGACGTTTGCGCGGTGCACAAGACCACCGTATGAGGTAGGAGCCGTGACAAAGAGGCCTGCTGCATCCTCGAAGCTCCAGCCTGCCGGCACAGGGAGGAGAGTGTGCTCTGGGGCAAGGATATGGGTAGCGTAGGCGCCTTGTGTGGCGCCAAAGACTCGGTCCCCGACTTTGAATCGCGGGGACTGCGCTTTGGTGGGCGCGGCTAGGATGGTACCTGCGAACTCTGCGCCCCCAATCCAGGGTAGTGGAGGCTGGTGTTGGTACTTGCCCTGGATTTGAAGCAGGTCGAAGAAATTTGTACCTGCGGAGTGGATCTCAATCAGGTACTCCGTTGCGGATGGGGAAGGCGTGGGAAGGGTTGCGACTTGGAGATCCTGAGGTCCCTATGTGTTGTGGGAGTCAGTCAATTTGTCCGTGGTAGAGCGGTGGCAAATCTAGTATAGGTCACTTCGTTGTTACCGACCTTGACATATTCTTTTACTTGAATGGCTCGCATGCTGACGACTGAATGGTGGCCGTGCTGTTTCCTTCGGTGAAGCTGGACAACTGCAATGTAGGAATAGTGCAAAGAAAGACGGTGAGTGAGTGGGTGGGTGAGAGTGGACTGTCTTGGAATGGAGCTATTGATTGTGTTGGAGTTGCGGTCTCGATTTGGGGTCAGGACACATCCATTTGGTCCGATGGGACCCAAAGGGGGGGGGGGGGGGGAAGCTTTCCCCACACCGGGGGTTGAGCCGAGGTCCGTCGTCGGATAACATAACTGACAGAAAAAACTCCCCCATTCGGTACCTAGGCAAGTTACTATTGCCTTCCTCTACAGCATGAGCCCAGAAATCGTCGGTTGATAGATAAATGGATTATATTGTTAAGTTGACTTTATATAACTAATGTGGGAGGCCGGTGTGTGCGCCCTTGTATAATAAAATATTTGGCATGTATGAGGGAACCAGTCCTTCATTGGCCGATCGTCCAGTCGATCTGGCCATCAATATATATGATATAGCCCGTACAAGCATCATAAACCCCATGCACACATAGACTGACAAAGGAAAATGATACAGAAAATTCCAAACTCCTTGATCCCAAACGTGGATATCATCAAAACCAGCACACCCCACTCCATGATTCGGCACAACCACTATACGCCAGGTATCCCATGATCCAAGTGCCGGTTCCCTTGGTGTACACAATGTAATGTTCAAATGTCCCCGCTCCTTTCCAGCGTCCAAGCAAAGAGAAGAGGGCTCAAGTGAACAGCAAAGACGAGAGGCAAAAAGTACAAGTGAGAAGAATAGATCAACCTCAAAAAATGTGTCAAGGTGACTAGACCAATGTAGGCAAACCAAGGGTCCAGTATGAGAAAATATTAGTTTCACACAAATAAAGCAACGTGCTCCTGGTAATGCTTAAAAATCGATGCTCTGAGGCCTGTGCACAAGTGGCTCAGGTCCAGGATACGGGTAGAGGGGCGCACACATAGCAGGATGTTGACCATGGGGATAGAAAGCGGACGGAGACACGATCCCCATGGCGGGTTGACCAGCCGACTTCGGTTGGATAGAAGCCTTCCGGTCAAGCGGCCGTGTTTGCGAGGCCTTCTGATCCAATCTCGGATGCCCGCCAGCGGTATCCTGAACATATGGAGCAGACATAGCACGCTTCCATGACTGAGGCCCCTCGTGTAGGTCAGCCATATGTTGCCGCCCGATACTAGAAGGCGGCGGTGTCTGGGCGTGTGGTGTCATCAGGTGCATGGCGGGATCGATAGGAGGGCTCAGTGGTGCCGCAGTGTAGAATGGACTGCCAGCCTCAAGAGGCATCGAGTACCACTGAGGAATTGACCACTGGATTGGTCCAGCTGTTGTCGCGGGTGTTTGCATGCAGTCCGTGGTGACAGCAAAGGAAGGATCATGGAAAGGCGACGCCATGCTTGATGTTTGGTTGGCCAACATGCTGTCCATCAATGGCGACGTGTGCGGTGAGTCATATGAGTTGGAGCTAGGAAGGACCATCACGGAAGAGGCGTGGGAAGGATCCCGCTGCTTCTGGGAAGGGCTCATCACGGGAGCCCACACATTGGAGATGTTTTGTCCATCAAGGCAAACTGTAGTAGGCAGGTCCTCATGGTGCGTGTATGCACTATTGGCCATGTACCATTCCGGTTCAGTGACAGAGATGTCTGATGCGACTGAGCGAAGAGGGGGGCGTGCTTTGGGGGAGACTGTGGAAGACTGGGCCTTTGGGGATGCATCTTCTTGACCACTGTCATCTCCGGTAGTCTCCTGTTGGCTGTCGTCGGATTTCTTGCGTGTCTGGCGAGAGGGCTTGGTGACCCTCCACTTCTTCAATCTACTCCGCAGCTGAGTCTCACTTGGAGGCAGAGTTAGCACACCGGTGGAAACCCATTTGAGATATTTCCGAGAACCTCTTCTCACCTTGGGTTGAAATCATCGGAACGAATTTGCTTGATGACCTGCTTCAAAGGCCATTCTTCATCCTTGTATAACTTGGCAATCAGAGCCTTCTTCCTCTCCCACACGTCAGATGGGATTGAGTTCTTCATATTCGGTTACTTCTTATTGAAGATGTAAGTTTTGGAGTTGGGAAGGAGAGAAGGGTATTGAAGTATGAAGATGAGAGAGAGAGGTAAGGCCTCGGGACTCTTAAGGTTCAATGACTGGTTGAACCGTGTAGAGAAAAAGAGAAAAGAGGGACGGAGAGAAAAGACACTTCAGAGGCCTTATGAGAAGAGAGAAGGTAGACGATATACACAGATGAGATAGGAAAGAGGAAGATCAGGGATGATATAGTAGGATGATCGGGGAGGATCTCAGGATATATGTACTCCGTAGTCGGGGGGGGTTGTGTTCCATGTAGGAAGAGGAAGAGGGTCCGGAGCAAAGTACCCAATAGAAAGAAAGGACCAGTGGGAAATCCCCCCAGGTACACACTAAGGTTGCTAGGAGGAGAGGAAGTACGGAGGGAATGAATGAAGTGGGTGTGGATAGGGACCCACGCTGGAGAAAGACGCCATCGCTCCGGCCTACGGGGCTTTAGACTCCATGGAGGTGAGAAATGAGAGTGGATGAGGGGACAATGAGGGAAGAGAGTGTGAGTGAGTGAGTGAGTGAATGCAGGAGGGAGGCAGAAGTGGAGCCCTGAAAAAGAGTGGATATGGGACACTGGATGGTGCAAGAAAGAATGGATGGGTCCAGGAAAAGGTACTCCATGAGCGATAGCGACGGACGCTCGTGCGCCTCCCCAGCAAAGAAAAAAGAAAAAATAGAAAAATAAAAAATCAGAGAAAGAAAAAGGAAAAAAGGAAAAAAAGCCCAGTCAGAGAGAACGAACGCATGGGAGATCGACGATGGCCAGGGAACGGCATCGGCCATGCGGCCCCATTGGGCAAGAACTGAGTGGAGTCCCCTTTCGGCCGGACTTTTTAGCTGCTTCTGCTGCTGGTGGTACGCCCATTGTCTCGGGTCCTGTCATTCAGGTTTAATCCAGGAGCGCTTTTTCCGTGGTCTTGGGTTGGAGCCCCGAAGTAAGCTTCTCCGTCGATCCCCGGGTCATGATTTGGAGAAGCAACCAAAGGCGAAAGTGCGCGTGCAATTTACGCCAGCCATTACCGTGGAGGACGACGATGGCAAATGAATGGAAGGGGGAAATACCCCGGAGGCGAGACAATTGGCTCTTCTTTGCGTCGAAAAGAGGAAGAAATGTAAGGATCACCTATCTCTGTAACCACCGGCACTGGCTATGGCATGCGCTGGCCTGGTTTGTACCATTCGATCTCCTATCTTCTATCTTCCTTTCCTCTTCTTTCTCTATCTCACTTATCCGATAACCCGTGGTAGGCAGTCATGGATCAGGTACCCAAAACCTTCGTTGGAGAGCGCCCCATCGCTGCCTTCTTCTTATCGATGTGGTCACAATATTACAGTATCAATACTTCTAAAATTTACACTGCGCAAGAATGAAATAAGAAATGAGATCATGATAATAATAATAATAATAATAATAAAATTATAATGGAACCTGATGGATCATCTTTCTCCAAGGTAGACTAAATCAGTACCTAGTAGTTAATCGCGGGATATCTTGTCAGTCAGTTCATGTCACCTGCTTACTTCCTTTTGCTCTCTTTCTCTTTATGTCTTCCTGCTGCAGTTGGGTCCTTTGGCCCCTCCTTTCTGCCCCGTCTTGCTCCGCAACGCATTGTTCTTATTGGGCTGCTTGGTTGTCATCCCGTCAATAGTGCCAGTTGACTTATACATCCTTCACTAAACTACTACTTACTACGACTCAGTTCTTCCGTTCTCCCTTGCTCCATGTCAAACTGACGGCTCCTTCAATCGCCTCTCCCTGGCACTTTGCTTTTTCCTTTTTCACACTTCGCTCTGCAATTTTTAAATTAATTTACTAGATTTATTACTTTTCTAATTTATTTTTATTTCTACTTCTAGCCTGTTGCGCGTATCTCTATTTGCCCCTCAACTCATTTAAAGTCAGATCGATCTAGTCTTAAAAATTGCACAATGGAGGTACTCCCAATTTGGCATTGATGGTCCGATCAAACAAACCCAATCTCCTGCTGGGATCAAGAAGAAAGGAGGGGGGAGGGGGGAAACCCGCTGAAGGAGGGAAATTAACGGATACTGAGATCATGGATGGGTGATGCCCACGTTCCCAAACACCCAACAAACACAAATCCAGACCGCGGGGACAGTAGGCACCTCGTTCGCCATCGCGGGCGATCTCTCTAGTAGTAGTTAGTTAGTCCTTTCGTCCTTAGTCACTCCTGGCCTTACCTACCTGTGTGCACCGTACTTTAGTGCGCGACTTAGTGGCCCTAAAGGAGGATCTCTCCTTCCGATCAGGAGTCTAAACTGGGTCGAGAACTTGGCGCATCTGTCGAACTGCCTGTTTCGGAAAGCAGGTGACTGTGAAGGAGGCAACGGATCAGAAGAGGAAAATCAAATTCACCCTGCCCACAAAACTAAATATACACTGGCCTGGATAACAGCCTAAGAGGTAGTAGTAGTATCTACGTATTACTACACTTTACCTACCGGAGAGGATGTTGCAGATAGAACTAAAGTAGTGCGGGCGGAATAGATGTAGATGAGATCCGGCACAGGCCAGGATCCTTAGTTGCTTACCTAGTACCTTGCTACAATCCCTACTACACCTGTAGGTGCAGGTGCATCGGGAATTGTCAAAAGAGCTACGAGGGGCGAGCTGCAATGCCATGCAATGCCATGCGCAGTGATGCGACATTTGGTACCTTGGTTCAGCACGAGCTGATTGGTATCTTCTCCGATCGCGCCGCTGATGAAACTTAGGGGATCCAGCTGATGCTAGTTACTACTTACTGTCAATGATCGGTCCTTTTGACTCATTGGATCGGAAATTCCCTCGATCAATTCGAACCACCCCAAGGATTGTTGTAGTCAGTGCAGTTAGTGGTGGTGGTTTATGCCTCAAGAGACTATCAAGTCATCCCACATGAGGTACATCATTTTGTATCTTGTATTTTAGATGTAAATACAACCCCCTCAGAGAGGGTTTCCGGGGGAGTTGATTGGTAAATACCAACTGATTCTTGTAACTCATTACAATACTCGTCAAATTGGGGTACCCGCCAGCTAGGTCTACTATCGATTATTTCTCTCTCTTGAAGTCAGTATTTCTTTTTTCCCTTTCTCTTCAACCTTTTGTTATCATCAATCATTTCGCTGGTACGTTATCTTTCGTCTACTTACGTTCTGCAGCAAATGCCATCTTCCGGACGTTACCGAGGGTGTTGTATCTCCGTGGGATGCCGCGGGCATGTTGGCCGAATCCAATTTTGACAGGCTCCCTTTAAGTTCTGGGTCGGTTCAAGTCGTTGACTGGCTGGAACCCGACAAAGCAGGATGAGGTGCTGTCTGTAGCCACTCGTCTCGTTTCCCCCTCACCCGTTCTTTGTCAAATTATGGTCCATCGCCGCAGATGGGGCGAGTCTGGTCACGGGAAGTAAATCGGCAGCAGAATGTTTCTCCTCAGCCGCAGAGCAAGCCAGCACGCAGAAAAAGTACGCCCAACAGGAGGCAACATCGGCAGAAACTCTCAGTAAGATCATGCTTTTCCTGCATCTTCCATTCGATGCGACAATTCTCTGCTGGGTTACGTGCTAGTATCTTTCTTCTTTCTTCTTTCTCCTTCCGAGCTGTTTGGGAGGAGCTGAAGATCCAGAAGCAATTATCTGCGTGCATACATGGCCGCATCGATCTCGGCAGTCACAATGCATAGTCGAGATTTTCTGCAGCTGAAAGATACTAAGTATGAACCTACACACGGACCAAAGTACATACCCAAGGGGCGATGATAATCTTACAGCTGGGTCGAGCCCTCGCCCACTGCTGCAGCAAAAAGGAATTGTACATGCGTCTCTTCCGACACGAGCTGTGACTAAGTCAGTCATTGAAGATGATAACTACTATGTAATAACTTTGCATTTCGGTAAATATGCCGCTTTCTTCCTAGTATCATCCATCAGACCCTGTGTGTAGATCAAAATCATTTGACGGCGCTTAAACCGGAAAATCAAAACCTGACCAGGTAAGAGCAGGTGAAAGTCTCAAACAGACTCTAGCCGTTAGAAACTCTCTTTCTTCTTAATATTATTTCAAAAATGTCATTCATAGCTTCGAGATTCGGCTCACGTTTCCAGACCGAAAACAAGGAGGTAGTAAAGGGCCTCGGATAAAAGGCCGATTTCCAGCGAAATTCCACTAACATTGGAAGGGAAATCGCGCCTAGGCAGCACTGGCCAGTGCAAATTTTCCCCCGTTCACGCGCTATCGACGATTGTGCTGAACTGCGGCCAGTGCCAGCAGTGCCAGGAGATGTAGGGGGAAATAGTGTGCGGACTAATGCCACCTAGTTCCTGACGGAAGTGGAGTGCGCAATCCGTCCCGCCAGCAGCATCCTCCTCCTCCTCCTCCTCCACCACCACTACCACTTTCTACCGCTACTACTACTGTCATCATCACTTTGATTTCACCAACGAATCTATCTCTGCCCCCTCCGAGTCTCAGGATATGGAAAAACAAACTAAGATTGCCCCTCCAGACGCCTCTCGCGGTCGACTTGTCTAAACCCCATCAGCAGGTCGGACGCTCAAATTGATCTGGGGAGGCAGAGAGGGGGGGCAAATCCATCTTGCACTGAGTGGATCTACCATTGATCTTCCCGAGGCCCCTCCCCACGATAGATTGTGGCCGTCTTGTCTTGCCCGCCCGGATTTCACCTTTCGGACCGGCCCAATCCAAAGCTGCAAAACACACCTCCGAAGAAGGCAACCTCCTTCTGCGCAACCAGGTTCACCTGCATTCTAGATACAATCCCAGTATGAGGGGTTTAACCAGCTCAACCGTTCACTAGACTCTTCTCTCGTGCGCGGGTTCTGCGGTCTTCTTCTTTTGATTAAATGCCGATAAGGTTGCGTCCTACAGTTTTCTGATACATCACCTCGGGGATTGCCTGATGCGTAGCTCTGCTGCAACCACCTGGGACGGTGTGGCACCTTGACAAGCGATCAGGACGAAGCCCTCCCGCTACAATGCGTTCCTAATTAATTACAGCAAGCGACTGGTCACATTGCCACCCTCGTGCGAAGGGCGCACTCCACAAGCGAGCACTGACCTTCGGTTGCTGGTTTGTCTACCGTAAAATTCCTCTGCACTCTGCAGGTGTTTATATTTCGGGTCTTCAGGACGTGCGAACAGGAGATGGCCGATTTCAGGAAGAAGAAAAAAAAAGAAGAAGAAGAAGAAGAAGAAGAAGAAGAAGAAGACGACGACGAAGAAGAAGAAGAATAAGAAGAAAAGAGGTCTACTGCATCTCGTCGGCTACCCCGTCAAGCATCGATAGGCCCGTCCAGTCGCTTTGTACAGACGGGAAAGCAGACTGCGAGCCTTCGGAACGGATGATTTTCACGCTCCCGTCACCGTGGCTGGCTAGGGTGGAGGCCAAGGAGACGTGAGTGCACCACTCAGGCATCTGGGTCCGGAGTAATTACGAAGAAAAAGAAAAAAGAAAAAAGAAAAAAAAAGAAGAATGAAAAGCTGGCAGGTAGAATATGCCCCTGCGTCTATCGGTGCAAGGGTGTGTACCTGCGTCTAAAGGTCATTCGCCCACCGGATGGCAGATCCGCTGTTCCCTGCAACAGGATACCTAGATACCACTACGTACTAGTAGACACAGCCAATGCAACTGAGTGTACGTAAGTACTAACTATAAGTAAGCTAGATTGACACTTGTATGGAGTTTCTTTGCGGTGAAGTCGACAACTATACTGCACTCAGCCCCAATGGAGCGAATGGCGGGCATCTATGCGACAGATAGAGGCTATAGATAGTACAGGTAAGTCTACAATAGATTAATTGCAGTGGACTTGTATGTGAATCACTGAATACGGGGGAGGCTTGGGGTGTGAAGCAGGCTGGGAACTCCGTCTGTTATGGTTAGATTGCTTGGTTCATATTTTTATCTCGAATCCCTGTCTTAATTAAAATCTTAATATGGACGCTAAAGCATAGGAAACCAATTCCACCTACCTTTCTAAATTCCCAGGGATCAAGGAAAGCAAACCCTGCAGTTTCACTCTCTATCTCCAAGTATGAGGACAGCGGTTGCTTTCCAACTCATGTCCCTCCCAGAAGTCCCCCGGCTTTTCTCCAGCATGATTCGAGCAGGTCATCTACCTCTCCCCACCAACAAATGGCGACCGTGCACACAATAATCACGCTGTTCTGACTGGCGGACATGCACTTATGTTGAGGTCCGAAATCCAAGGTTTCCGAAACCTTCTTCGAGGGCCTTAAGGGGATTTCTTTGGGTTTTCGGTGGCTATACTACTTTCGTTGGACTCCTCCGAGCCTGTTGGTCTGTTGGCCTGTCTCAAACGGCCAGAGTCACTTTTCACTCCTGACCAGCTGCCAGCATACCCTTTTGGGGGAATGGTCGTTTCACCATCGCCAGGGCGAAGATCCCAAGGCTATCTCAATGGTCCCCAGTGTCCTACGGTCGGATCCGCACGTGGACTGATCCTGAGCCTAAAGGTTGTTATCAAACAATCGACGATGATCTCATGCAAGGTGTAGTCATTGTTGTTACATCCATATTACTCTCTTTAAGTCTTAACCACCTCAACTATCCCTAATTTCGATAGATAACAGGTGTTCCTCGGAATGACGACCCTCCCTCACTGGAGAAAAGCCCGGGGTGAGCAAATCAGCAAGCTGCGTTCATCGGAAGCTGATTGAATATCGGAAGCTGATAGGCGCCGAAGAAACTCCGGGTAATCCAATCCTTCTCTCAGCCCATCGCGGCCAGAACCCCCCGATGGGGAATCCAGACGTTTGAAGCTGGCGAAGATCATGATGTAGGTGGATGGTACGTGGAAATGAACTGGCAACACGATCGCCCGCTAGGGAGTCACATGGTCTCTTCTCGCCTTGCGGTCGCAGCGTAGATGCACTCTGCGTCCTGTGCTGTCACTCCTACTACTCCGGCTCATCTCAACTTCGACTCGGTCTGGGCTTCCGATGGGTGCTACTGGACTTTCATTTCCTCGTCCCCAGTCGAAGACCCGCCTTGCAGATCATAGCATTAATAACAGGGAATAGTCCGTTCACTTCCCTAGTTAGTCCTGGTCCATCGTGCTATCTAGTGTCTTGATTCAGTTTAGGAGTGAGCCGGACTATCTCCTCCAAAGCTACTGCTAACGATCCTAATACTAAAGTAGTTCGATTGGTTAAGCTCGACTCTAGGAATTTCAAATCACCGTCAGCGAGCAATCACCACTCGCCATTTCCCTTCAGCCCCAACGGTTCTCCCCACACCCACACAGACTAATGCAGCTCGAGGATCATTTTCCGCGGAGCTAGTATCCCTCCGGATAACCATGGAGCAATCTTTTCCTGAACCGTTCTCTTGAGGCCGCCAGGTCCAGCAACTGTACCGAGATGAGGGGGAGATTCGCAGAGGCAGCAGCTTAAACTCAGCAACTCTCCGAATCAGTATACATCTCCGTCGTGGGGAGAATTTAGACTTTCGTCCGAAAATCGCCAAACGGGCGTTTTCCCGTTTTCGGAAGTACGCTGGGGCTTCATAGCTCAACTGACATTATCGTGGTTTGTTCATGCCCACGAGGAAACTCAAAGTCGTGGGCAGCCTTACATCGGCCACATCGCTCACCCAAGGGCTTCTGAAGTCCGGTCTGGTAGCGGATCAGCCAGCCATTCATTCCCTTCGACGGCTTCCCCCATCTCCAGGTTGCTGATCAGTGGGGATTTTCCATCAGGAGCTGGTCAGGTGAAGGGGTGAACGAATCGTTGGCCGTATGTGTCTGCGTGCCTTGTCCTCCCAGGGTTCACTCCGAGCTCGTGGCGGATGTTGGAGACAGCCGTTGTACCGGGCGTGCATCTGGTACGACTCCAATTGCTTTCAATCCTCGGTTCGGGTTAATCTTGGGTCGATCAAGGCCTTCTCGTTGGTCAACCGATCAAAAAACCACGCTGCGTCATCGGAGGCTTGCTGCCGATTGAGTTCACGTGGATGCGCGTGTATTTCTTCACAGATTATTCAGTCACTCGGCATTGCGGTAGCCCCTAAGTCCCGGAATCAACGGCGTTCCATGGTACGCACATCGCTCTATCTGAACTTTCTAAGATGGGGAAGTATCCGAAGGTCTGGGGGTATAGGCAATTCATTTCGGAACTCAGGGCAAGTACGCACGAGGCGACTTGGCCGAGACAAGCATTATCTCCGCTGATTCTCTCCTCTGCACACCAGTTCGCAGTCCTGACCACAGAGGGTTAGTCTATTGACCAGCACGAATCATATGGAGCCAGTTTCCATCTTATAGTCTGCATGCTAAGATAGTAATGCACGCGGGACCACTTTTTCTCTTGCCTAATCAGACATAGCAGCCGTTCACATTGGCCCAGAGTTGCATAGGTTTCAGAAATAGACTTCAGGTACTGGGTACATACATGTGGATCTAAACTCTAACTACCTTAGGCTGACCTCTCGCCTTCCTTCTACTCCTCCTCACTGCTTGTATTATTCCACAAGCCCTCAAAGGAATTTGGATCGAGGTGGTGCCGACGACTTTCCTCTCAGAGTTTGTTCCACCCTCCTATCGGCAAATTAATATACATGTCTGAAACCATCACTCCACCCTCACTCATACCAACACTGCTGCCATCCGCGGAATTCCCAAACATGCACATCCTCACTCGTGGGACTGATTGTTGGTGGTCCAGCCATATGCAAGACGGGAGTGATGTGACACAGCCAGCGGAGACAAGTGTCAAGAGTCTGGCCTCCCCCCAAACCACATGGTGAGAGACACCTGCTAGCATCGCCTTCCTGTATGAGACTAGCCCTGCCCTATCCAAAAACCATGTGGCAGGCAGAGAGAGAGAGAGAGAGAGCGAAAAACATGCAGGGGTCGTCACAGATGTCCGTGTTTCATCATAAACCCTCTCAGCTACCCACTCGACGCCCGTCATTCTCGTCATTCGGAAATGTCAACAAGTTGGGCAATAGACCCTGGCATTGGAAACACTCGTGGCTGTAGCCCAGAAGACTGGACCAGTCGAAAGTGGCTCCTTATGCAGATTAACGTGTTTGGGACAAGCTCCAACATGGTCATGACTGTGACGCACGGGATCTCAGAACTGGACGAGGACGAATGAACATGAGTCAATTTTTTTTTTTTTTTTCGCCTTCTCTCTACTCAACTAATCAGCGGAGGCTACAAAGTCACCCTAGGGCATTCCTCACTTATACTATTCTTATCCCATCTATTTATGTCATAATCTCGTTGCAGCATACGGGTGCGATATCGGAGCCGAGAGTACCATTGCCATCGTAAAGTGGTTTACCAATCATAATCAAGTACATCTGGAGTGTCAGGAGTGTCTTTTAATAGGTAGGAGAAGGGATGGGGGTAAGGAGAGAAGAATAGTATTAGCATGTACAAAGTATTCATCTTGGGTCTTTCTGGGAAATAGGATAGGTAGAACGGTGATTTTATCGTCTCCAGACATACTCTCTCAAAGCAAGACGCCCGCTAATCATCAATGGAATGAATCTTTCCATCACCTTGTACTATCGAGACGTAAGAGGAAAAAGAAAATAGAAGGGAGAAAAGGAAAAGTAAATAAGGTAGTAATCCCAATGCGTGCACTGGACAGATAGAAGAGAATTAAACCCAAGGGCAAGGAAATATATAAAGAAGAGAGATTTTAAGCAGAGGAAAATATCATCATGCGAATACAATTACATAGAGACGTCGACCAGTCCTGATCGATCGTCTATTCGTTAGCCTCTCAATACATTCATTCCACCGATTCAATCCATTCCAATCGCGTGCCGCATGGATTCTGTCTTGTTCCATTTAATCATATCAACGACGCCTTCTACGGAGCCGATGCTCCTTGCCTTTCTTGGACTTCTTCTTGCTCTTATCTGCCGGTAAGACAAGTGGTTCGTCCTTCATATTCCACTCCATGAACCGTAATAGGTAATTATCGATATGGCCAGGTTGGATCTCGACGTCAACAGGTTCGTCAACCGCATGCACCTGCGGGGAGGTGAGCAATTGCGGACCGGGAGTAGTGCCCGCTGTTGTTGATTCATCGGGCCCCGTCGTGGGCCCCGTCGCCAGTGGTGTGCCGGCCTGGGTTTGGCCAGGTGTGCGGTCGTCGAAGTCGCCGTCGTCAGCGTGCTCCAATTCCTTTTGGGCATTCTTGGCGGCATCAATGTCTTCTTTGTCTTCGGCTTGTTCGAAGACACGTGCACTGGCTGCGACACGATTCTCGAGGACCCGATCCATGGCTGCGCTGGCTTCGTCGTGGCCTTCGAGGACGTCTTCCGTGTCGATCATATCGCGGACGTCTAGTTTAGTGAAGTAGTCCGTTGTAAATTCTCCCTCTTGGATAACGACGTCGTCAAGCATGCGCTTCTGGTTAGCTTTACGGAGGATGTTCGACTCGATGGTATATTCAGAAACGAATCGATAGATGTGAACGTCGCGTGTTTGCCCGATACGGTGGCAACGATCTTGGCACTGCTTGTCCATCGCAGGGTTCCAGTCCAGATCGTAGAATATGACGGTGTCAGCACCTGTGAGGTTGATACCTAGACCACCAGAACGACTGGACAGAATGAATGCGAGGATACGGTTGTCATTGTTAAACCGATCGGTAAGGATCTGACGCTGCTCAACCTTGGTAGTACCGTCTAGTCGGAGGTATCGGTGTCCGTGAATGTTAAGGAACTGTTCCAAGATGTCGAGCATCTTGGTCATCTGGGTGAAGATCAAAGCCCGGTGGCCACCCGCTTTGAGGTCCCGAAGCAATTTATCGAGTCTTTGCAACTTGCCGCAGTCGTACTGCAAAAGTCTCTTGTCGGGGAATGCGATCGAAAGACGCATCTGTGCTTCGTGAAAAGGGTCGTATGGCGGGAACCGTTCCTTCTTCGTGAGATACCTCGTCTCTATGGGAGTCAGTGCGGCCTCGGTGATACCAGTCGCCACAGCAGCAGGGGTGACGCAAGCGAATCTCTGAACATATCCGTCCATTGCCTGGGACCGTTCTTCAATGGACAAGATCATCGATGCCAGGACGGACGACTGGCTCGACAACCAGTCAGCTAAGGAGCGTTTCCGCAGCGGCCCGTTGGCGGTAGGCCGCTGCTTACTGTCGGCCGTGAGAAATTCGATAAGACTTGATCCGTACACCGGGCGACGACCATGGCGTTTAGACTCAAAGTAGAGGCATCTCTCCAGCTCTGCCATCCTCCGTTTCCTGGACTCATTCTCCAGAGCGTCTAGCGTAGACTGCACCGTGCTACCATCGAAGCTCATCTGCCAGTTGGTACGGTGATACTGGCGTTCCCTGAGCGTGTTGAAGGGACCATAAGCCATAAGACGGATACTGTCATCGGCCAACCGTCGAGAAATATCTTCTCGGGATATGGGCACTAGGTTGAGGAAATCAAGGTCGAGCTTGGTGAGTGGATGCTCATACAATAGTCGCCGGCGGACGAGAAGATCTTTGATCTCGTATTCCGTGACCACAGAGCGAGACATGGCGAAAGACGTAGATATGGGCCGAGTTTCGAAGAGATCGGGATGATTGCAGACCTTCCGTAGTTGCATCAAACAGTTGATGATGGATAGGTAATTCCCTGACGCAAGCGTTTCCTTGGTCTGTGCGCGAGACATAAAGCCATCATAAAGGAATCGTTGACGCTTCGAGAGTCTGCAATAAACGACATGCTCGTACTTCGCCGGCATCTGCTTCTCCACATCTGCTTTGAGACGACGCAAAATATAAGGTCGGAGTACAGTGTGAAGCTTGGTGACCACTCGCTTCGCTTCATCATCCATTGTCTCTCTGCCATGCTCCAAGATCTGTTCCACAGGGCGTCGGAACCATTCCGAAAAGTTCCTGAGATCAGCGAAACCTTCAATTCCTTCTTCATCGCCATCGGAGGGCATCAAGAAGAATAGCAACGACCATAGTTCAGTCAAATTGTTTTGAAGCGGTGTTCCGGTTAGCAGGAGTCGGGCTCGTGTTCTGAAAGTGAGCAGTGCCTGCCACCTTTGCGAGCGGAAGTTCTTGATGTTGTGTGCTTCGTCAAGAATCATATAGTGCCAGCTTCTTCTTTTCAGCACTTGCTGATCCTGGAGGACTAGTTGGTAAGAGGTGATCAACACATTCCAGCTAGTGTCATCCATCCAGCCCTTTCGCTTCTGTCGACGCTCCTCCTGGTTTCCGTAATAGGTCATGATTTTGAATCCGGGGCACCACTTCTTAAACTCCATCTCCCAATTGAGAATCACACTAGTAGGCACGACGACTAAGTGCGGCCCCCAAACCTCGTGCTCCACGGCTAAGTGCGCCAACAGCGCTATCGTTTGTATTGTTTTACCAAGACCCATTTCATCTGCCAGGATGCCATTGATGTGGTTTGTATACAGGCCAGCAAGCCAATCCAGGCCGAAATGTTGGTACTCCCGCAGAGTGCCTCGGAGAAGATGCGGCACCGGCGTCTTCAACCCAGGAGCAGGGGATTCGCTGGGCGGTGCGTGTTTCTCCGGTGTTTCGTACGAGGAGATGGATTCGGGCTCCGATGGTTTGGTGACAAGCGTGCCTGGTGATGCTTCACTTGAGGGCTCGCCGCTTTGGTAGGCTTCGTGGTGGGCGTGTTCATGCTCTTCAGGCGGGTTATTCTGAACCACCGCATCAGATGCGTCGGGCAGAACTGTGGCCTCGTTATAACTGACATCTGCCATTTCAACATCAGGTGTCTTGTCCGCGGCGGGGGTAGGTGCGGGAGTAAGTTCTGACGCAGAATCAACAGCAGACTTGGGCTCAGCATCGGCAGTTAGATGAACAGCGGAGTCGCAGGCAGAAGGGGACGCCGGAGCTGGATCAGGCTCGGGCGCGGAAGCAGCTTCCTCTTCATCTTGGAGCATCGACTTTTCTAGCGCCGGACCGTTAGGCACAAGGGAGACTTCATCAGAATCTTCCGGTTCCTCTTCCGGTTCCTCTTCCTCCTCCTCCCCATCCTCTCCAGCCGACGCTAATTTGGTATCCAAGTCGTTGATAATGGTATCATCCCCACCATCAGCATCGCTCTGTGAACCGCCATAATTCGTTGATATGTCTTTGGAAGAGAAGAAACCTAAAAGCCCGGGACCATCACTCTCCGCGTCGGAGTCGACTTCATCAGATTCATCCTCATCGGTGTCGCCCATATCATCATCCATATCAGTGGACTCATCTTCACTGTCGTCCAGGAGCACGGGATCCACATCTTCAAGCTCGGGTTGCCCCTCTGCCGATGGGTCGAGGGACGCAGTAGCACGGTCCACAGAACGATCAACGTCTGAGGTGTCACTCTCGTCGGAAAATGCTGTAGCATCAGAGACCACGGACTCGTGGTCAGAATCATTGTTGGTGTTGGGTAAATTAGCGTATTTCAACCGCAGTTCCTCTGCCGTCAAGCCTTCATCATCATCTACATTATTCTCATCTTCACTTTCTGAATCGGTCGACGACATATTGTCTTCATCTTCCGAACCGTCCGATAACTCATCCGAGTCCTCCTGCTCGGCATCACTGGTATCGGGTGCGTCACTGCCACCTTCGCCGAGAATCTCCATGCGTCTTTTCTCGAAAAGCATTGTGGATTGCTTGATAGCACGATCCAGAGCTTGCTGATCTTCGGCCTTCCGCTCCTCCTCCCAGCGTGCCAGGCGCATCTGGTCCACCTCCGCTCGCGCAAGGTCGAACATCTTCTGAAGATCCTTAGCCAGCTGTTTGCGCTTCCCACGCATCTCCTCCTGCTGTTCCCGGAGAATGTCCTCAGGATCCTTATTGCGCTTCCTCCACGCGTCCGCGCACCACTGAGCGAATAGCTTGGCAGTATTTCGATGACGCCTGTGTTCCTGGTCGAGAAGCTTCTTAAAGTACAGAGCGTGCGCGACCAAGTGGTCTTGGTGGGAGTATTGCTGGGGCGGTTCCTCTTGTTGCTCGGGCAGGTATGCAGAACAAACATCTGGACTCAATAGTCCGCCCGGTTCAGCTGCCACAGCTATTCGGCGCCTCTTCAGAGCCTCCTCGAGTGCGTCAGCTGGTGAGAGCACGGATGGATCCCTTATTCGCCCGTCATCACTCTCTAACCATTCCTTGAACGACCCATACTTCCGCGGAGCTAGAACGTGGCCTGGATGCTGAATACCGATGGGTGGTCTTTTAACCTTGATCCGTAGCCGTGGAGCCCGCTGGCCATATTCATCATCATCATCTGCATTGTCATAGTCGGCATCACCGGTTTCCGCCATGGTCGTCGAAACGTTGTTCATAGACGAGCGATGCGAGCGAGTGGAGCTAGCGGTGCCAATATTCGACGCTCGACGCGCCGTGCCGGAGCTGTAAGATCGTGTTCGCGTGTGAGGTTGCTTGGGAGCTGGTGACTGAGAGATCTGGTGGCGCCTGCTGGCCGACCCTCTTGTGGTCGCGTTCCTTGGGGAACCATTGACTGCGGCGCTGCCACCAGCCAACCTCCCATTTGGCTCCGGCTGAGGCGGGGACATCGACAACGGAGACGACGCGACCCCCTTCGTAGCACCGGAGACATTCCGACCTATGGCCTTATTCTGAGCGCCGCGCGTGCTCCTCTTCTCGGATGGACTTTGCAACTGGAGCGGGATCGCGTTAACGCGAGAGGACTTACGCCTCCCATCTTGGATGAATGATGTCGGACCATCGACGCCGGCCTTTTTCCACGGGGGGGATGCTGGACGGGAGGTTGAGCGACGAGCGGAGGAAGGACCGGCGAGCTTTCGCTTTTTGGAAGGAGGTTCTTCGAGCTGGTCGACTGCGGTGGTGATACCGTCTTCTTCTTTAAGGTCGGCAGAGGTCGAATCCCGGCTCAGCGACTCGGTCGGAGGCTCAGACGCAGGCAGGTCGGTCGGAGGGGCCTCGAGGTTGGGGGTCACGCGTTCATCTTGATGGGAGATTCCGTTCGGGCTGCCGTTTTGCATGTCTTGTAACCACGGAGACAGGGGCCCTGTGCACAGCTGACCCCAGTTTTCCCAACGACGCGGCGGTCAAATGAGGCGAAAATGGCATCAACGGGTAGCGGTAAGTGAGTCAGTATGCCACCAGAAATTTGGCATAGTTATCGGCACGAGGGCGTGACGGGTGGACGAAAAACCACGGGGATGGCAAGATTGCGTGGAGAGGTGGTTTTTTCATTCATACAGTGACGCTGCAAGTACGGGGGGGGAAGCCGTGTATGTAAGCAGTTGCTGCCATGAACCTCAGGACCCAATACCGAGCTGGACGGGAATTTCATTGGGTATTACTGAATATTTTTGTTACTGAAGGTTTACCGTACCGTCCATTGCTACCTTGTCGCCTCAGGCAGAATAAGCCTCTCCAGCCAATCACAATCTCCCAAATCCCGTCATCGAGTCGTTTGCACTTCATCCCATGGCCGTCTGAGCCTTCCGGTCACATCCCTTGACTTCACCTCCCCTCAATTCCCCCCCAATTCTCTACAGCAGGAAACAGTCAGTATTCCCGAGCCCTCCCTATTCCTCTAGTCTCTGCTTCTTCGCTGCATTGACCCTATTGCTAACCGCGATTGCCAGATGCTGTCCCAACGAATCTTGGCCCGCCGCCTGCCTCAGGTGGCCGCCCGCTACACCGCGCCTCGCGCCTCATTCTCACAGGTCCGGAGTCTCAAAGCTGCGGAGGTGGACGACCCTTTGCAGGTAGGATGTGCACTAGGAACTCCAATTGCTTACTGCCTCGGTTGATTGACACCGCTCGGTTTCGGCCTACAGAACAACAACTACCAGAACCCTCCCCGTGTTAAGCGCGCCTTCAGAGACCCCTACGGCGATTGGTGGGACAAGCAGGAGAGACGGAACTTTGGCGAGCCCGTTCACGAGGAGAACGAAATTCTCGGTGTCTTCAGTCCCGAACAATATACCCACGTCACGGCTCGCAAAGGTCTCCTCCAGGTCGGAGCCTTCGTCGTAACCTTCCTCGGACTGTGCGGTGTCGTCAGCATGTTCTACCCCGACAAGCCCAGTGTTCCCAAGACCTATCCCGATGGCTTGGAGAAGGAGCTCGGTGGTCCGGGTGCTGCTCCGGTGCGTCAATGATATATCCTATGGACCTTCAGCTCGGCTCTGTGCTAACGAATGAGATATAGGCCCGCAAGTCCGACGAGGCTAGCTGGTGATTGCGCTTTTCTCTGCACGGTGTGTAAATAAATACAATACGAGTTCTTTTCCTATCGGCGTCCATGGATATGGGTTATTCGAATTGGTGCTTGTGGGAAGGGCTATCCCCAGCGATCAGATTCGCGGAATTATTCTCCGGGTTACGATCCTATTGGCAATCTTTTGCGCCGCATTTCCACCTATGAAAGAAGTAGAATGTCGAGTCCGAGTGCAATATACCTGCAAGAACCGCTACGACATGGGTGCAAGGGCTCAGATGGGCAATTGGGAGCGAGAACAAGTGAGAATACAGTGAGCGAAAAGAAGGGCATGAGACTGAATTTACATTAAGTGATGGCACTGCTACACCATGCTGCAGCACGATCTCTCTGTAGCGGACGTCCGATTATCCAGTTGGCCGGTGGGGTGTAGATTAAGCGGTCAGGATCGCGAAAGTAGTCATAGCATGCCTACGGGTATGGAATGCAAGAGGTAGAAATGTCTGAATAACTCCCTGGGTGCATGTCTCAGATGGGTCAAATATTTCCATTCTCTGGAACAGGGGTTCGGCGGTTGGCGATGGTGCGACTCAAAACCCACGCCTACTACGTCAGTCGACTCGGGAGCTTTTTTCTGTTTCAGATGCCGCAGAGCCAGGCCAACCACCACCAACAACATCCACACCCACCCCTTTCTAACCTGGTCTCTCTAGCCGCCAACATTCTCCAGACCCTTCCACAACGCAGTCTGGACTCGCTTCCTCGGTTCTAGGGATTGAGATCACTTGACAAGACTCTCCTGCGTGGTATTTCCCTTTATTCTCCCCCAGCTGATGCTGGTGGTTTGATCGCGAGCGACTCCCTTCTTATCCATCCATGGTCCCGCCCGCCGCACCTAACTCCCCTCGCAATATCACCCCCGAAACTCAAAACACAGCAAGACTTGGATAGAACTCTGAGTTGCTAACTCCCCGCTAATGTCGACGGCATCTACTCATTCCCGAGGCGTTAACCGACGGATTAACAGCATTCAGAATGAATCCCGCCATTCGCGCAGTCTCTCAGGGTCTCGTAGGCGCCCCGTCAACTCCTCGACTGCCTACAACTATGCTCTCCGGGTAGCCTACCTCGCCCATCTCCTGCAGCCTCGCTCGCGTCGTGTACAAAATGTACCGGTCCCTCAGAAACCCAAGAGGGCCTCCACCTCGTTTCATGATCTGATGAGCGATTTCTCCCTGGTGCGGGACTCAAAAAGCACTCGCATCCCCCATGGGTTCATCGCGGAGCTGGAGAAGAGGCTGACAGGTGTCCTGATCGGGAAAGAGAAGCGGAAGGAATATCAAGATACGCTGGTCGTGAGGACATTCGCTGCATTTCTCAATACTTTGAAGGACCAATCGTTCAAAAAGCGCATGGAGAAGGACCGGCGGGCGGAAGACCTCGTCCTCATCTTCTACTCCAATGCCACCAAGGAACTGAGCAAAGGAAAGGATCCCGAAGATGACCACTGGAAGCTTATGGTAGACAGACACGTGGCGCTTTTCGTTCGCTTGTTTGCGCTTATCCTGAAGGATCACGACTGGGCTAAGGAGCGACCTGAACTGGCAAATCGGTTGTCGGTCTTGGAAAACAAACTACTCTCCCAGGATCAAGATCTCGTGCAGACCAACGGCTCTACTACTGTGGAAGTTGTTGCTCCCATAAGTCACGATGTCAAGGACATGCCACTTGTGCAGCATGTGTCAAGGATTTTTGACGTGAACTTGAGCCAGGTTCAGGCAGACATAGATAAGAATAAAGGGATCTGGACCGGGAAGGCGGCCCTTCAAGACCTGAAAGCCTACCAGGCTCACCTAAACCTCAAGACTCGGAAAACATTATCTCAGGAAGACTTCGAGAATGAGGATGCGTATGAACTCTGGAAGAAGAATGAAGGTCCTGATCTGTCTCAGATGATGCTTGCCATTGTGCAGTCGAACCCGGAACTCGCCAAAAGCACCCCGGGGGGTGCGCTTCCACAATTTAACCCAAATGGTAGTGACCAGGATCCGGCGGGGGAACTGTCAAGGACGAACTCCGATAGGCCATCGTCGTATGTCATAGATCAGTCGCTGGATCTCAGCTCTTTATCTTTAGGTGATGACGGCGAGCCTTCGGATGAGTCCGATACGTATACATACATACCTCAGGATCCCCGATCTATGTACAAGTTTATATTAGCTCAGACCCTGAGCCATGACCTGAAAGACCGCGATATTGAGGCAACACAGGCAACATCCGAGGTCCCTTCAATGAAGCTATTTTCCAAACAGTCGTCGGAATTCCTCAACGAGGTCTGTGTTCGGTGGCGGATTCCGAATTTCTCCAGGATAGTTTTGTTTCTGGATGTTGTCCGGTCCAAATTTGTGGATAACGAAATTGATCTCAATACACTCGATTCGGCTTTCACTTTCGTGAAAGAATCCCCTTCTGCGGAGGGCAGGAGGCGCAGTAGCTTTATCGCTTCTGTTCTTTATGAGAGGCGCAGGTGGACAATCCATGACCTTCTTCTGATGCAGCAGATACTTTCCTCTCTTCACGAAGCTCTTCTGCGTGAATTGTATGATGTGATGATGGATTGCTATGAAGGAAAACCTCGGCCCATCGGTCCGGTGATGTACGTACTGGAGAACCATATTGAAATGGATCCCAACTACACCGAAGATTTGGAGGACATCGAGCGTTTCCGCTCATACGTGCAGGATGGGCTCGCACAGAAAGCAACCGAGAAGTATCAAGAGCTTCTGGGGCAGCTGATCCCAGTCCAGCCGGAATCCTGGGAGCTCGACCATATTATCCAGCTCTGCGATGCCATCACCAAACTTGCGCAGAAGATCAAAAAGCGTTACCGGAAGAATCCAGAGATCATGGGGTAAGCACACCTCCAAACCAGGCACATTAAATTCCGCTTGCTCACTGAATTCTAGGGTCAACCCGTATCTGATACTGCTTTCGAACGTCCTCCCGATATTCTCCGAGGATGCCCACGAGATGGTGGTCAGAATTATTGAGATGGAGAAAGTGAGAGGTGAGGAAACCAACATTGAAGATGGATTCGATTTGTATAAGCAATTAGCGGACGTGCGTCGTCTTTTCACGGAGGCCCTTCCTGAGTAAGTTCACTCTACCAATGACCATTCTGCGGCGCATCGATGCTAACTGCGCATGCAGTGTCCCCTTTCCGTTCCACATTGAAGGCCTAATGGAGGAGTTCGTCTGGCGGTGGATTCGCTTGACCGATAAGAAGGTTGCAGACTGGGTTGAACAGGCAGTCAGACAAGACGCTTTTGCCGTTCGAGACGACGGAACGATGGAAGTGGTTCCGGAGGAGAATCGACACAGTGTGTCTGTGATTGACATTTTCCGCTCCTTTAACCAGGTCGTAGAGCAGATGATCTCCCTTGAATGGGACGATGATTTCCAGTACGCCAAGTTTATGACGGCCCTGTCCAGGTCTATTGGGAGCGGGGTGGCAAGATATTGTGAATCCTTGGAGCAGATGTTCGCTAAAGAGATGGATCGGCTTTCTCCCGATCAGGAGGCGGCTATGAATCAAACCGCTCAAGAGAGGATAATGCAGTTGGCCAAGGAAGCATGGACGAGCAAAGAAAAGATCGAACCCTTTCAGTTCTTTCCCGAGGTACGTTCGTTCATTGAGGCATGTTGTCTACCTGGCTAATGAGGAATCTCAGTCTCTGGTCAAGCTGAATAACGTCGAATATGCCCTGTCGCAGCTCGACAAGCTGGAAAATGAGGTCAACGTGGATGGCTGTGCAGAGGTTATCGCAAGACATGCTCAGCCTCAACTTCAGAAGATTCGCAAGTCTACGACATATGTTTTCACCGTCAAGGTGGTCGAAGCAGAAGATTTGAAGGCGTGCGACATGAACGGAGGAAGTGATCCCTACGTCGTGCTGGCCGACGAGTATCAGAAACGTATAGCCAAGACCCGCATCATCTATAACAATCTCAATCCACGATGGGACGATGCTGTTGATATCACTACGCAAGGCCCAGTCAACATTATCGCCACCATTTGGGATTGGGATGCAGTCGGAGACCATGACTATGTGGGTCGGACTTCTATCAAGCTCGATCCGGTCCACTTCAGCGACTTCCTGCCAAGGGAGTATTGGCTTGACTTGGATACGCAAGGCCGACTGCTACTTCGCGTGAGCATGGAGGGAGAACGCGACGATATCCAGTTCTATTTTGGCAAAGCGTTCCGGACGTTGAAGCGGACGGAGAGGGACATGACTCGCAAGATCACAGAAAAGGTAAGATAGCAGAGCCGCCGGAGTACCTCTCAAGCTGTTGCTAACATCGACTTTGCAGCTTTCCGCATACATTAGTCACTGTCTATCGCGTCGGACGCTGAAATCATTGCTGTCGCGCGGACTCAGTATTTCAAGCGTATCCAACTTCTTGAACCGCAATCGAGCGCAATCCACCACCGCCACCCCGTCGAACGCAGACGTGGAGAATGCTCTGACTCCCCTCTTTGACTACTTCAATGACAACTTTGCCATTATGAACAAGACCCTCACCTCGGAAGCCATGAAGATGGTCATGGCACGTCTATGGAAGGAAGTGCTGGCTACGATCGAAAGCTTGCTTGTTCCTCCATTGTCCGACAAGCCCTCTCACCAGAAGCCCCTCACGATGCAAGAGGTGGATGTAGTCTCACGCTGGCTCGTCCTTCTGCTGAACTTCTTCCACGCCATTGATGAAGAAACGGGTGAAGCCAACGGCGTTTCCATCGATATCTTGAAATCACCCAAATACCACGAGATCCAGACCTTGAACTTCTTCTATTTCGAGCCTACTGAACAACTGATCCGCACCTCTGAGCGGATGGCCTCTGCGACGATCTCTCGTCAGCAGGCCAACAAGAACCGGGCCTCGGCGCCACCACATCTGGGTGCCGCAGGATCTAGCAGCATGTTGGGTGTCCCCAGCGCACGTCGTGCCAAGAGTATCATGCTCTCGCGCAACCTCGGCACAATGAAGAAGATGAAGGAGGAGAAATGGCGCGAGGCGCAAGCCGAGCCGAATGACGATATGATCCTGCGAATCTTGCGGATGCGCCCCGAAGCTGCGGGCTATCTGCGTGATCGCAGCCGGCAAAAGGAGCGACTGGCGGCAGCCGCAGCTGCAGATGCCATTGTGAAGCAGAGTCTAATGGCAGGGGCTGGGGGAAGGATGACGGGAACGCTGGGGCGGCGATGAAGGTAGTACGAGACCAACATTCGCGGCGTTCTTCTATGTACTTGTTGACTTTTTTCACCTTGCGATTCAGCATGACGCGGCATTGTTTGGCCTTGTTTTCTCTTGCTTCTCTTTTCTTTGACTCTTTGATATGGACGTGATGATTCCCAAATCTAGTTTGTTTGCACTTTAGGGAGCGTTGAGCCTACGGGTTGATCGTTGATTGGGAAGTTGCGTGGTATTA